GCCAAATTAGGAAAGTTTCAATGAGGTTTCAAATTTGAATTTGAGCGGATTTGAAATTTTCATCATTAATTAGTCGGAGCGGATTTGGAAACGCATAACTCCTTTTCCCCTAACCCCCACTCCCTCTCTCCATGCCGCCGGCCTCCCACATGGTCCCCCCTCCTTTAATGCTCCATTAAAGCTCCTAATTACATGGTTTTGAAAATTCAAATCTCAGATTTTTCCCTTCACTTTCACTTAAAATATGAGAATAATTTTTGGTATGGAGATATAATATTATTTCTTCATCCCATCTAGTTCTTGCCTAACCCTAGCCTCCTCCTCCCTCCCACCGTCACCTCCCTCCCTCTCTCTCTCTCGTGCATTCTCTCTTTACATGATATTGATTTATGGTCGACTCAAGGTGTGATTCCGATCTTGCATCCAACGGTCAAGGCATCGTGGATCTTCTCCACTTTCCGTCGTCGACGTGATTTCAATCCTTGACGGATCCCTAGAGATTCCTTCTTCCCGTAGTGCTTGGTGAAGAAGACCAACGAACGGTACGTGGTATTTCACAACTTCTCTCCGGGAAGGTGATCTTCTTTCTTGATTCACTTACTTTCAAATTCTACTTACTTTATTGAGATTTGTTCAAGCAAGAGATTGTGTCTACTAATCGCCATTCATTAGTAATCGTAGGTTTGTTACTTCTTTGCTATTAGATCTCATTGTTATGTCTTGGTTAAGTTGGAAACTACTCCACATGCAATGTTTTAATTTTCCTATGTGTTTTGATTTAGCTTAGTCTCTTGTGTGGCTTAGCCTAACGGAGTTGACCATTTATGAGTTTTACCTTGTTGTTTTAATCACGAATAACTAAAATCTGAAATTGTTCTTAAACTATCTTGTGCAAGTTTCCAATTTAACATGTAGTTCTACATCACATAGACTTATACCTCGGCCTCCATAAAACCATTAAAATCATAAGGTTGTATGCTTTGTCATTATTGTCGGGTTTGGCCAAATTTCACTAGTCTTACACAAACAAAAATACAAACAAACACAAATAACTCGCAATTCCTTAGCTAGTTTATACCAAGTACATGAATTGTGAATCTTCTGGGTTGACTCTATCAAGTAGAGATATAGACCCTGATTTTTATCGAATCTTGGATCGATTTTTTATTAAATACACTAACCTAATGTTCTATTCACGCCTAAACAATCATTTTTGGTGCTAGGCCAAGTCTCTGGAATTGTCACCTAATTCTCAAATTCATTTACGGGACTTCTCTAAGATGTATGTTTTGTCTTTCTTGGAATTGAGATACACTTGCTCTTGTTAACCAAATAATTAGAGCAAGTCAAGCATATCATTAAACGCATATGTTTAAGACATGTCTTTGAGTTGGTCATACTTCAATCCTATGTTCAAGTTAGCTCTGAATTTCTTATTTTAGGCATGTCGTGGATATGCCAAAATATCTTACGCAGATGTTAACCTTAACAAATCCTAGAGGGATTTCTCGTGTCAAATATTTAATATAGATCACAACATCAAGGAGTTTCCTATATCACCCAAGTCATCTTCACCTTTATGTCTATATGTACTTCCTTCTCAAAGTTTATTTTGGATTGACTAATGTTTATGATTATGAATCAATCCTAACATGAATTGTTTGAACCCTCAATGTGTTGGAATGTCAATTGTCATATAAAACACCTTTGAATAATTGACAGTCATATTTATCCCCTTGGAATAATTTGATTCAATTTTGAATCTTTGGATATCACCGAAGGTTGGAACCGCTAAGAATAGTGTTGCCTTACTTGGAAGATTTGATGGGAGGTGAACAATGCCTATTAATTGGGCTATGGATGATATGGCTTTCCGAGTTACTATCATTGGTAGGCTTGGTCCATTGAGTCAAATCATGACAACAAAGTCATGAGATATTGATCAAGTTGTTCACTCATCTCCATTCATGCTCTATATTATCAATTAGCCCAAATTTAAATCATTAATCTAAAGTGCAGTGATATCCTTAAATTATAGTATTTTAAGGTGATAAATTTGAGATGTAATTATTCATGGGACTTATGGCCATGAAAGTCTTGAGAGGCATAGTTTGGCACATTTTTATGTGGCTAATGACAAAAGTGGAATTTGAAGATTTTCCCTCATATTACCAGTCTTATAAAATCTTTGGTTGTTACTATTTTGATTGTTTGAAGCCCTATTCAAAATTAAGAAAATCTTCCTTTAGGGGCCTGATTGTTGGGGGTTGCACTCTTGATCATTTTATGGACACTCAAGAATTATTTGTGGTAAATACTCGTGATCTAATGGAGCCTGCCAACTTGCTACCTATGTTTCACCGATACGGATACAACGATACGGATACGGGACGTGTCAATTCTTAAAAATACATGATATGGGTTCGGCGCAGACACGACGTTAGAATTTATAAATCATACATAAAAATTAAGAAAGTAATTAAAACATAATATTTAAAATTATAGAAAAAATGAAAGTAACATCATTTGTAGTCTTGTAGCTTATAATATCAAAATAGAAGTAAGCATTAAATGTCTAGTACAACAACAAAAGCATAAACATAAATTGTCTAGCGCATGAAGTTTCAACTATTCAGTCAAAGCTTTTAATTTATGCTCATCAAGTGAAAGATTAGCAATTTTTAATATTCTCATATCATCAAGAGACTCAAATCCATCTTGGAAATGAGAGAACCTCGCTCGCAACCCCATAAGTAAATACGACTAGTCTTTTTTTCGGATTTTTTTTATTTTTCAATGGGCACGAGTATCAGATACGCGTGTTCTTTTGAAATTAAATAGTATATTAATTGGATACGGCAAAGCCGTATCCGACACGTATCGGTGCCGTATCGGAGGTGTATCCGTGTATTGGTGTATTAGATACAACGCACCTTCATAAATAGGTGTATCGGTGCAACATAGCTTGCCACCTATGCCTCCCACAGCTTTGGCCCTTTTGGATTGTCCTCATGCTCTGGGTACTTCTGTAAATTCTTCTTTTACATGAGTGCCTTTGTTGCTTATGGTTTGTTGGATGTCAGTGTCCCCACTGCTCCTCAAACTATGGTATCTTTAAATATAGTCATTGATCTTATTGATATTTCAAGAGCCGGGTTTGGAAAAATAGTATGTTAGCCTTAAGAGTGTATATCTATTACTTTTACTCTTTCTCCTCCACATGGAGTTCTAATTTTAATTATGAATTATGATCATTCTAATGTGAAGGATATTGATGATTCAAGCTTTGTCCACTTTCAAGATTATCAAAAGTCTACTCGGTTCTAATAGATAAAAGGTTTAGGTCGTGCCCTCTCGTCTAGGCACAAATCCAATATAGTTACAGCTTTTAGAGGCATTTGACACAAATTTTACAATTTGTATTAAAAAAGTAATTAGATGTTAGCATTTGGTTTTTTATACATTTTTGTAGGTTTACTAGATCCCAAACTAGACGCCATGACACTTCTTATGACTTTGACCTGCCATATTTAGGCTTCGTTTGGGACAACTTCTTATTGCTTTCTAAAACAGCTTTTTAGTACAAAAAATTTTAATTCAAGAAAATTTTTAACTATAATACCATTTTAGAAAGCATTAGGAAAGCTGTCCCAAACGAACCCTTAGAAGGTGTTTGATTGTGGGTTTGCTTCTTTCATCTTTGATAGACTTGGTTTGCTTTTAAGTTTTCTTGATCCAATATATTTTGTATGTTTGCTTATGTGCTGGCAGTTTTTTTTTTTGTTACGGCTAGTTCATATAGCCATTTCACTAACTAGTTATAAAATTTCATTGCTCTGCAAAAATTTTTTTAGAAGTTTGGAAAAGCGTGTTTTGCCAACTGGTCCAGATTTTTCAACTGTTAGATTAGTTAAAACACATCTTAAAAGCTTTATTCTTTTGCTTGGCATCAAGCCACCTCTCTTCAATCAGCAAATCCAGATGATGATGGCAATACTGTGTCTGAAAATATAAAAAATATTGAAAATAAAGTTTTAATTGACCATAAATATTTTCCTTGGATTCAATTGTTTTTGCGCACTTTACGAATCATATCTGGCTATTTTTGCTATAACTCTCCTTAATTTATTCAGATTGCCCAACGAAACAGCTTACATGTTGATGTTGATCTCGCTCTTGGATTCGCCTCGCAATATGGCAAAATTGGAACCATGGAATGTTTGGTTGAGGAGGGGCAAGCAGCGGCTTTCCTGGGACCGCTGAGGCGTGCTGCTGAAAGAGGTTGCTTGCCTGTCGTCCAATGGTTTATCGACCGTGGCTGCCAGGATATGGAGCTGTGTCTTGCCTTAATTGCCGCGACCTCCAGCAGCCAAGTCGAAGTCACTGCATACCTTCTTCCTCATGTCCCACAGCATGTCCTTGCCGCCCTCAGCGTAGAAATCATCAAAGCTGCCGGGGAGAGGTGTGGTGGCTCTCTCGACGGAGTTGCCTTCCTCCTCCAATCAAATTTCCTTGGTGATCCTGCAGCAACTTATGCAGTAGCCGACAGCATTGCTAGATCCGACGATGAGGCTGTGGCCCATGAGCTGAAAGCTTTCCTCCATGAACAGTGGTCAGAAGAGGCTTTTTTGGAGGGTCTAAGGTGCGGACAGGATGATTATGTAAACTTCATGAGAATATTGAAGAGAGGTGAATCACCCATTTGCTTGAGGGACCTGCCAACACCATTAATGATGGTTATTGCTTACTTGCCATTGTACAAGGAGTGTGTGGTGGCCAGCGGCTGTTTGCTTCCTCAAAGACTTAGAGGCCAGCTTGTGGAGGTGGCAGCAAGGCTTACCAATGGAGCTGTTAACAGGGGAAGCCAGCCCAATGAGCTACTGGCAGTTTTGGAGAATCACCTCCCTCCATTTCTTCATTCTTCAGAAACCTTTGTGGCCACTTGCATAAATAGCAACTGATAGGAACTTTATTGCAGTCCACCTTGTTAAGAGGGCTTTAGATGTCATCCATGTTCTGAAATGAGCTGAAATATGTTCATCCTCGGTGTATAGAATAGATTGTAAGCATATACAGCATTGAGCAGTGTGTTTTAAACCCCATATGTTTGGGGAGATTATTCTATGCGGATGCTGAACACAACTCTACATCTGAAAACTCGTCAGAATTAGCCAGTCTGCAATACCAAGCGTGTTACCGAGTAGTATCGAGCCGCGGTACCGATGTGGCTCATTCTGATTGGTCTCCGGATGGCGTTCGGCATCTTCACAGACTTGAATGATGATTCGGAGCTCTCTTGCAAGGTTTAAAAAAGAGCATTAATGGAATTCTGCTTGTAATTGCTTGTTCTGTGGAATTTCAGCTTAATGAACTTAAGTTGGGCGTTTAGATTGTTTAGCCTTTTCTGCTTGTAATTGCTTGTGAGCATTCAGTATGGAAAACGGGCTATTTGGCCAACAGATGTTTCCTAAAGCATATCAAAATTTTGTTTCTCATCTGTAATTTTATACCGTTTTGTTTTAAGGTAGTACAACGAATGCTTTCATGATCAGATTATGTTCTCATTTTGATTTAACAAACTGTTGGTTAATGTCTATGATAGTTGATTGTCTTTCTATGGCTTCTACCTTGGAGAAATTATTCTATGTAGAGGCTGGATGCATAATGCCATCTGAAGATCAATCAGAATGCGTCACCTCAGCGGCACTGAGCCATGGTATCGAGCAATATCTAGCCGTGGTACTGAGCATGGGGATGATGTGGCACATTATGGTTGGTCTTCGGACAATATTCGACGTCCGCACAAAATAATTAATCTCTACCTTAGGATAGGTCGAGTCTTCTTGAATTTCCTTGCTTGTAGATGAAGCTTTCGATAAGAGTTTTCTCCTCAGCGATGTGGGACTAAATTTTGACATATCCTTAGTTCTTTTTTGACCAACTCTTGAATATCTCTAATATGTAGAGAATAATGTCTTATTTAAAATTATTTTGAGAGGGGCATGTTGATTAGTTTGATCTATTTAGTCATAAATTGTTTATTAAATAATGAACTATATTAATAATGTCAGAATCGAATGATTTTAGACTTATTAGATTCGTCTCATCAGACTGCCCTATTTAACTATGGAGATTGTTTGATTCCTTCATTAATGTTCACAAGTTTTCAAAAATGTTTTATGAGCTTTTGATTGAAGCTCATTTGGAATAAAATCTAATCATCTATGATGTTGATGAATTCGTCTAGTTTAAATGCTTAGTTTAAATATAAATTTACTGAAATCAAAATTTTGACGGACATAAATTCAATTATGAAAACTTCCCAATTATAATATTATCTTGACATTTAGAGAAATTATTTTGTGCGGACACCGGATGATTCGGAGATCAATCAGAATATGTCACGTCATTCAATACATAGTGGTACCCAGTACCGATACCGAGTAAAAAAATAACATAGCGCATTCTGATTAGCCTTCGAACGTCAACACAGAATAAATTTTCTGAGATTTATGTCAATATATATATATTGAAATCTTATAAATTTTTAAAAAGTATTACTTTTTAAGCTTGGTAGAAGTGGATCCGAACCCGATAATAGATGAACTGCTCCATTTTCTGTTGTCTGCTAAAGAGTCATAATTAAATAAAGGTTGACGGCGACGGAGATTGACGTTGCGTGATTAAAAAATAGAGTGCATGAATCTGTTCTTACTGAATCACAATCAGCCCCACCTCAGCGGTTAATGGCTCTCATGATGTGAAAGATGCTAACACGGCAAAATAAAGGAAATTTGACTTTTTTTTGCTCCTAATAATTATGTTTGAATAAATGCGGCTTTTATATGCTGATTTTAAACAAATGACTAATCAGCACGAGCAACACACATCAAAGCATTCTCATTGATAATATATTATTATTTTGGATGGTTTGAGTTGACGGTAGATATGGATCTTGATAATTGCAGACTGTTTTATGGGCATTTGAATGTCTTAATGATATCAAAATTTGACGATTTTGGATTTGTTGGATTTGTCTGGTCGAGCCGCTCGATTTGACTATAAGCATGTCACTTTTGGAAATGGTTTGTTCATCCGATTTAGCGTTTGAACTTTTTAAATGTGTTTAGAGTCTTTGATTTGGATCAATTTGGGCTCGGATTTAGTCAAATTTGATACCGTTGGGTTAGTATTTTCGAGACGTTTAGTTCAACTGTAATTTTGCTGAAGGTTATAAATGAAGTCATAGCATATGATGGTTATGTAATGATTCATATGCTTTTCATTGAATATGAGCTTGAGAAATGAGTCATTTTCATGGAATTTGAATATAGAATCAGATAGGGTCAAAGAAATAGATAGGATGAACTATAAATAAAAATTCAATTGTTAGGATTTTGTTTTTTTTTTTTTATTTGGGCTCACATATTTATCTTAATTATTCATTTTATATAATCTTAATATTAAGCCTATTAGCTTGTGATTAAATAAGGATTAAATATTTATTGGCCTTAGAGGAATATTTTATTTATTTATTATTTCATAATTTTTATGGAGTTGTTATAAATAGAGACCAAGTATTTTATTTTATTATTAATGACGTGCTGAAATTAAAATAAAATAAACTTAAAGTATAAATAGGGGTTATGTTTCCCACTATGAGGTGTTTAGTTCTCATTTTATTCATATCTCATTTTGAGTGAAACAAAGGCTCTCTCTCTTGAGAACGAGCAATTATTAAGTCCGGTGAAATCCGAACGTATCCGAATGTATATCGAGCAATACTGAGCGCTCAATACCGAGTTTTAGGTGACGTGGCACGTGATTATTGGTCTATGAATGCATTCGATGATCGGGGATTAATACTCCTTGAGAACACCCCTCTAAACATGGAAGAAGACAATAGATCTCATAGTTATTATATGGAATTAGTTATTTTAGCATCATTAATAACTACCGAATTATAATCCTTGAAATTTCTTTGATACAAAGGATGCTTGCATGGCAGATTTTTATTTTGATTGGAGTTTGTATTTTATTATGTTAATTATAATTGTTAACATATAATTTATGAAATATTAATGGATTCAGCAAATTGTGATGCTTATTATCTTATGAGAAATGATGATAAATAAATCAATTAATTTATTGATAAAATATATTTATCAATTAAATATTTCTTATTTGAAATAATTATTCATTAATTTATAGTATATAAAATATTGTTCAAATTTGTTTATTTAGTTAATTGCGAGATCATTAACAAGCTTTAATCAAACCGAGCAACGAGTAGCTCATAGAACATTTGGTTCGCTTGCAGCCCTACACATAAAATCTTGACAAATGCTATTTGATAGAGTGGATTAATATGGGTCGTCTGGTGGAGCACCCCGAATTTGTCCAAGATCTTCTCCATATTTATGTAAATAAACCCTCACTTTCCCACATGAGGGGAGGGTTCTAGTGCCTTTGGGAGGAGGAAGAGGAGAAGAGTTTTGAGGCTTGAAGAATATTGGAGCTCCACCAGGGTAATACAACCGACAAATTCGAGCCACCATGTCGTTGCTGTTGGACCTCTGCGAGACCATCTTCACTCAACTATGGTCCACTCCGACCACTGTCACCCATCAAATATGGTCCTTTCGACCACCGTCACCTAATTACGGTCCTTTCGACCATCGTCGCTCGACTAGGAATCTTGAGGCTTGAAGAATCTTGAAGCTCCACCTCGGTAACACAACCAAAAAATTTGAGCAACCACACCGTCGCTGTTGGACCTTTGCCATATCATATTCACTCAACTACGGCCCACTCTAACCACCGTCGCCCATTGAATATGGTCATTTCGACAATACTCACTTGACAACGGCCCTTTCGACCACTGTCGCATGCTATGATTCTTTCAACCTCGATCGCCCAATTAAGGTTCTTTCGACTATCGTCGCCCGACTATGATTCTTTCAACCTCCATCACCCAATTACGGTTCTTTCGACTGCCATTTTCCGTCTACGATCCTTTCCGTCACCTGACTATTGTCATGTTGACCTCTATTGCATGACTGTCGTCCTTCAGACCATCGTCGTCGAACTACTATCCACCATGAACACCATCACCCACCGACCACGATACACTCCGACCACCGTTGCCCACCGCTACGATCCCTCTGACCATCATCCCTTGTTAATTATGGACCCTCTCACCTTTGTCGCCCATTGACTACGGCCCTTCAAACCATCATCATCTGCTGACTATGATCCCCCTGATCACCATCACCAGTCAGCTATAGTCCTACTGCCAAATTAACATACATGCCAACACTCTTTTAAGAATAATTATCATGTAAAAAACTCTATAGAATGTATATTTGCTAAATTGAGCTAGCACCCTCCTCCGAGAAGGGGTATTATTTATAATCAACCATCAATACTAGTGGATTAATTCAAATTGGGTCATTCCCCATATTTTTTTTTCATTGACAATATTTTTTTTCACGTAAAAATCTTGGTGTCTCTTATGAACGCTACACCTCTATCTTTTATTTGTCTGTGTATTGGATCTTACTATAAAATGCTAAACTTTATATCTCTCTGCCATCTCGAATATTTCAAGATATATATATATATATATATATATATATACTATTAATTAATGCGCGCTGTTAGCTGGTAGCTGCTAGAGCTTAATTCATATATTCCATCAAATTCTTCTCTTATATTCTCTATCGATCGATTGATTGAATGATCAA